GATGCTTATGTACCACTAGCATCATTCTTAAACGAACCATTAACCTTTGACCAGGGAATTAAATAGGATCACCAAATACCTACCAAAGAAATACGTATTTAATACTCACAATATATTATTAAATTCATACGCCAGTGGATGGGCCCACGTTGATTGCTTCTATAGATATGGGTCCCACTGTCTCACACATTTCCTTACATTATTTCATGTGGTAATAGCAATATATAGACTCTTAATCTTCAGTTCATTCATTACATCACTGTACAAATTTTCTCCACATAGGGAAGAATGTCATTTAAGGTGTAAGCTAGAATGTATATCTAACTTAATTCGAATCTTAATAGCCTTGTTTGGTTCCAAGGAGAAAGAATAATGTTATTCATCCCCACTTAGATTGAGTTTCAGTTTATGTGACAATTACATGATATTAAATGATAGATTCAATTAAATGAGTCGTGTGATTTTGTATTTAAATGGAGGTAAAGTGGTAATGAGAGGAAATGTAATGCGGGATGGGCAATACCGCGTAAATCGCCCGTGCTTAATATCAATTTAGGTGATGTCGCTATCAACATGATTGTATTTGTGAATATAGTGTTTTCCCACCAATGGAGGTAGTTTAGGATGGGTGGGGTGGGGTGGTGATATGGCCGAGTTTGGTTAGAAAAGATCTGCATTCTTTTTTTATTTGTTATTAGATATTTAATTATTTAAAGTGATATTTATTAGTAATTTTTAAAAGGTTATAGGATTATATTTGCAATTTTTCTTATTTTTGTTGTTTTTCTGCTTTTGTATGCTTATTTATTTTAAGAGAATGGCAAGTTCATCATTTAATGACCAAAATGGAGGAAATGGCGAGTATTGCTACATAATTGAAAAATCGGTAATGAATTATATTTGGGGTGTATTCGGTAGAGATAAAATCTGATTAAAATTCAAAAATTAATCGTTATTGTTGACTTTTATTAAAATGTGTAAGAAAAATTAAATTTGAAGGAACGGAGACGAAACAAAGACATAGACGTACCTAAAACCTGTATTTCTAGAAAGTATTTCAATCTATACGACAACTTACAAGTTCAACTATTGAAAACCCATTTCATATTCAAATTTATATATTCACGGCTCAATAATTATTGTTTAATATAATTATTCCAAGAGACGGATCAATTTCAATATATATAAATAAAGAAATATCAATTAATTATTAAGAAACTTTCCCTTAAAAATCTTACCTTTGACCCGGGAATTAAATGGGATCACCAAATACCTACCGAAGAAATACGTATTTAATACTCACAATATATTATTAAATTCATACGCCAGTGGATGGGCCCACGTTGATTGCTTCTATAAATATGGGTCCCACTGTTACGTTGAAGACAAAATATCTGAGTGAGGAATGCGATTGCATAAATGAAAAATGATTTTGAGTACAGAAATTCCTACATAATTTTCAACAGATTTTTGAATTTTACTCACATCGGGTGGGCCTATGTGAGTAAAAAATTGATTTTTCTACTCACCCCACTGATGTGTCTATCACGTATAGGTACAGAAATTCAAATTCCTGTACCTATAGCAGAACTATTGCATAAATAGATTTCCCGTTGAGATTGTGGCGCGTCTTAGCGGCATTGTGACAGTCTCTCTTACATCTTTCTTTATATTATTTCACGTGACAATATCTACACTCTTAATTTTTAACTCACTCATCACACCACTGCACAAATTTCCTCCACATAAGGAAGAATGTCATTTAAGGTGTAAGTTAGAATGTACATCTACCTTAATTCCAATCTTAATAGCCCTGTTTGGTTCCAAGGAGAAGAGGGGAGGTAAAGTGGTAATGAGTGGAAATGGAATGCGGGATGAGCAATACTGCGTAGATCGCCCGTGCTTAATACCAATTTAGGTGATAATAAATTTTACAATTTATAATTAGCGTTCAATTGTGTTTTCCATTTTAACTAATTACACGTTGTTAGCCATATCGGTCTAGTGAAATTTAAATGGTTTTGAGAGAATATTTTGTTTAGTCACATTTTCGAACAATATTATTTAATTTAATTTTATTACTTTATTTGTTGATTGAATTTTAGTTAGTAAATTAAATATATTAAAATAATTTTCATTTTACATTTTTTGACAATAAAAATATTTCTAAACACATGCCCTAAAAAAATGTTTGTAGTAGTTTATTCTAGATCAAGACACTTTTTCTTGTTTTCAAAATGATATATGTACCCGGGGGTTTACATCTCTGGGTATTCGATCCCGCCGCCCCCCTCACAATGAGGTGGGGCCCGAGGGGAATTAAATAATCGACGAGCCCCCCATTGTGAGGGGGTGCGTAGGGTCGGGATAACCCCAGTTGTAAACCCCTTTCAAAATTGCTACATTTGTTGACTTCGAGAAAAAAATCGAGAAGACCGGAGCTGGTGGTGGGAGGGGTCACATCTCAACAAAAACAATTGGACAGATGCTTGAAAATGCTTGAAGCGGGGCCCGGTGGTCCCAATCTCTACTTTCTTTTTTGCTTCGACGGTCAAGATGCACTTGTATCAAAAGAATGAAAACTTTTAATTATTGAACACTTTACCTTCCATATTTAAATCAAATTTTGTCATAAAATAAAATTTCAATGGCATAATTAAGGTCGGTTTGACATAATTTTTATAAAGTTAAAAATTATTTCTAAAATTAAAAAATTATTTTTTAATATATTTAGATAATTTTTTTAAAGTATTTTTTTGGAACTTGAAGAACTTTTAGAAGAAACTCGTCTAAAAGTATATTCCTCGAAAAACTCGTCTACGAGAAGCAAGACGGGTCCTTAGAATTTTAATTAAGAGTTTTTTTTTTTGAGAATATATTTTGTAATAGTGATTTTGAATATGTGGTCAAAAAAGTGGGAAAGATTTTGAATTTACATGTAGAATTATTTTATTGCGAGAATGTGTGGTTGAAAATAAGTTTTTGCTCTCCAAAATTCGCTTCTGAGTTGAAAAAAAGCTGCGCCAAACACTTCAAATTCCACCATATTAATAATTTATGCTCTATTTTATGTTAAGAGTAATATTATTCATTTAAAATCTCAACAATTATTAATTTACGTGACAATAGGGTCACTATGATAGCAATCTCCCACCACATGTTTTTCCATTTTGTTTGGAGCCTCTTTGGGGGGAACCTACTTTTGGTGCTCACTTTTTCCAACGAAATAGATATTTCTCCTTTTCACTTTATCACGAGGCCCCCAAAGTGAAACACACGTAGAAACGTAAAGCGAAGGTAAGGTATCCCAATATATTCCTAATTGAATTGTAGAATGGGTTGGCCTACGAGTGCATAGTATAATACATAAGAGTGTTCATTATCGACACCATTATGAAAAAATGTTATGCAGAATTAAGTTAGTCGTACAACTTTTTTTTTTTTATATCCCTTCTGCAATTCGTTATGTGTAGAAAATTTGATAATTGATTGAAAATAGTATTGTTAAAATTAATGTATAAAAAAACTACCGACGCTTAAACTTGATGCAAACGTAGATTCTGAAATGTGATGAAGGATAAGTCATAAAATTGTTTTTTTTTAATGAATTGCAAAATATATTGATTGCCAAATGATTGTTATAAATCAAGTTTCAAGTTTTACGAGTTTATGAGTAAAAAAATGTTTTCTTATTTTTAAAATTATTTTAAATTTCTTATCATTCTAAAATATAATTTAATAATCAAAATAATACATTTCAAGCATCTAATCATAAAATATTATATTTATTTAATAATTTCTACAATTGGTTAATTATATAATTTTCAAGTTTTCGAAATTCAAAAACTATACTATTTTTCATAGTTTTAACTTTCAAATGAACAACTCCTGCTTAGATTTTTCTAACGTGTTTTCATTTTTTTCATTTGCGTAATTGTAAAGTCGTTTAAAAACTCAAAACTAAAGTTAAATAAAAGGTTTTTAAAAAAAATAAAAGTAAAAAAAATTAATAAAGCGTCACTTGGCACTCATTGTCAAGGCGTGGCGTTTTGCTCGTGTCTGAGAGTCAGTGCCTGCATAGGCGCGTTTAGACGGGAATGCAGTTAATATATTAATGAAAAACAATTACATAATTCTCAACAATATTACGTAAGAAAAAATGAATATTGCAAATTCAGTACTAAAGTATCAAACATGTCCCATTTCCTTGCAAATATTCAATCATGTATATCTAACGACAACAGGCTTCAACTACGGAGAAGAAACATCTCAAATCGTAGCTTCTCCTCCTCTTCTTCAATATGCTATTTGGCTAATTTAAAATATTATTTGAAAGTAAAGATGGTCGCCGGGCTCATTTGATCTAAGAGTGGGGTACCCTGGTCAAGCAGCAGCGAGTGTACCGGTCCGGAACTGGCAGTCTGGTGAGGATCTATTGGGTGAACTTGATTTACGTTGCTCCTTTTTTCTTAAGGCTCTCATTGAAACAGAGAGATTCAAACTCTTCTCTTTCGCTTCATCCATATCTATTTGTTCTTGTCTGCACTCTACGCTGCAGAATGGAATGTTCCCTCTGTAAAACAACAAATTTTCGATCTTAAAATCAATCAAAAAGATGTGGTTTAGTGAAAATATTAAAACCTAATTAAGATTCTAATATAATATTGTTTGAATTTCTGAATTTTATTTTTAAAAAAAGTACAGAAGTAAGAAATGATTAGTAGGAAGGTTAGTAAAAAATCCAGAAGTAAGAATTCCAAATCCTAGAGCGTGTTCTACATTCAAAAAGCTAGCCTATTTTAAATTTGTGCAAGTCTCAACAAAAAAAAAAAGCTGTCTCCCTTTACTCAAAAGTTACTCCAAAAAAAGCAACTTATTGAATGATACAAGTAGCTTGAAAATAAGTAAAACATAGCCATTAAGAAAAAGTCAAAATGAGAGGAGTTAAGAGTGGAAAAGGCGAACCTATACATGAAGATGTCTTTATTACTACTTAGCGGTTGCTTGCATAGAAAACACGCATCTAGAAAATGAGGTTTATGTTCTTCAAATCCATCACTAAAAAACCTTCCACGAACGGATCTCGGAGTTGCCGATAAATTCCTCATTCTCTGCATAGAATTACAATAAAAGGCGCTCGAATTCAGAGAATGGTTCTGGCGATGGCTGTTTACGGAGGATCCGGATTCCACTTCTGCCCCGGAATCGGGTCCATAATCTCCCTCCATAAAACAAGGCTTTCTTCTTGAAGAAGTAGTTGCTGCAGAATCCATGAATTTAGAGAGGGAGAGAGAGAGAGAGAATTATAGAGTGCGTTGATTAGAGGAGGAGGAGGAGTGAAGAGTGAAGCGGTGGTTATAACGAAGGGTTTGGTGTGAAAAAGCAATGAGGAGAGAGAAAGCGTAGAGAGAGAGAAAACAAGGGATTCTGTGAAAGCGAATCTATTGGCGGACAATACCTTTGGAGCGCTTTTTGGGTTTCATTGCTGTTTCACCAAGAATTGCAATTATTGTTTTTTTGACAGATTAATTTTATTGATGGTCACTGAACTTTCAAAGAATTTTACATTTGTCACTGAACTTCACAAATATCTCATTCCGACCTCAGACATCCAATTTTTAGCTGAGAATTCTACCCGTTCGTCCGTCGAGTCATCAAATTGTTAGAATTTTCAACTAAATTCTACGTCTTGGTTCACATACAAGTAGAATGATCTAATAAATGGACGTCAAATTGAGTCAGTCGTTTGACTAACATTATGCCCCTACTTGGTACACATTTTTTCAATAAAATAATATTTTTTATCACATCAATAAATCTTACTTACTTTTTAAAATAATTTTTTTCCTTAATAATATCCATTAAACACGTTGTATGTACAGTTAGAGATGGGTTAGAAATAAAATAAAGTGCAATGACCAAAATGATACTAAGTAAAAAGTGCAATGACCACTGTTGAGTTAACAGTTGAAATTTCAGTTTATGCCCTTGTTTGCTTTCCCTTATTTTTAAAATAAATTTTTTTCCTCTTATTTTTAACCATACATTATTTAATAAAATAATATTCATGCAAACCTTAAAAAAATTCTTATTTTTTAATCACACATTCTCCATTAAAATACTATTTCAAAATCCATTTTGGACCAAAAAAAGGGGGTTCAAACCGGGTTAGATTCGCAACTTCTACAAAAATTGCATCATTGGTCCTCAATTTATTCTCTACAAGTAATAAGTGAGTCTCTAAATGTAAAAACAAAAAATAATGTGGTCATCTACCTTTTTATTATTTGACTCTTCACACTTTCAAGTTTGTATATCTAATGGCAACATTGGCAAGCCTTGTCACTTTTTTGTGTTGAAAAATTCGAAATTGGCTGTGACCAATTTAAGTTATTGTTTAACTGGAATTTTTTGTTTGGTGAATGAGAAATTAAGCCAAACTTAAAATACTTGAAATTGTTGAAAATTGTATAGAATATTGTGGAGTATTTTAGAGAATGAGTAAATGAAAATATGAATATTTTCATATGGATCATAACTCTTGGAGATCATGACTCTGGGCATTATTTTTCAATAATGGTCTCTTTATATAGAGATGTTATTGTGTCTCTTTATGGAGAGATTTAAATTCCAAGAGATGTGTCTCTTGGTATGGATGTTCCAACTACTATATATATA